TATCGTCACCAACAATTCAAACAACAACCAACAACATTGACAAAAGTAACAACCAACAACAACAACAACGTCATCTTCACCAACAATTCAAACAACAACAACAACAACAGTAACAGCAAAAGACGCATGAACCACATTTGAAAGCATCACATTAAATTTCTGCTGAGAAGCATTCAATGAAATGCTTCCTTCCATTCAATGAAACGCTGCAATTTCATTTTGCAAGCACAAATAACAACTCCACATAACAAAACATCTTGCTTTAAGCTGTCTCTACCTTAGAATTTGCGTGCCTGTTCGTTTGCTTGTGTTAGTAAGTTTGTGTGTGTTAGTATGTTTGTGTGTGTTAGTGTGTTTTGTATGTGTGATGGCGCGTGTTTTTGTGTTTTATTTCGTGTGTTTGTACGTATGTTTGTGCATATGTTTGCTTATGTGTCTGTTTGGATGTGTGAGAATGTGTATGTATGTGTAGTGTATATACTTATATATATATGTATATACGTATAAAATCAATTTGATGGAATTTGAAGATCGAAAGTGTTTGAAGCGGCAAACATGTGAAGTTACGAGCGTTTCAAGTAATGATTGCAAACACTGAGGAATGGTTGTAGCGTTTTTCATGTAGAAATTCTCGACTGAGCTGCATTAGAAACGTGAAAGATTACAATGGTAGCACTCTGCACACTTCCTGGCTTCAAAGACTGCATGCACGTCAAGCATGATGTGACAGTTTGAAACATCAAAATAGAAGTGTTTTTGTATCAGTTTTTTCATTTCATAAGAATATGATAGCTTAAGGTTTCGCCTCGCTAAATTACACGCGCAATCAGATTTTCAAATGTCTCAGTGACGCAAAATGTGAGGCACGTGTGTGTCATGCTACCTTCCATGTTGTTTGTTAGATGCAGTTCAGAGTTCCGCTGCGTTTTGTTGATCATGTTGTTCAAGTTGAAGCGATGGTTGTTTATGTTGGTGTTTAAAATTATTTTCAATGTTGTTTATGTTGTAAGATTGTAATTTTGTAACTTTGTAAAAGTAGATTTGTAAACCAGAAAAGTAGATTTGCAAATGTCAATGCGAATGACTCATCCATCCATCCATCCATCCATCCATCCATCCATCCATCCATCCATCCATCCATCCATCCATCCATCCATCCATCCATCCATCCATCCATCCATCCATCCATCCATCCATTCATTCATCCATCCATCCATCCATCCATCCATCCATCCATCCATCCATCCATCCAGACAACTTCTGAAACATGTCAATGTACACTGTAGTCACACATAATTTATTTTATTTCATGTTGCAACATTCAACTGCCAACCACAATCAAAATTGTGAATCAAGACATCACTGGACCGAGGTGGAACAAGAACAGCGAACTGAACGCTGCAGGTCCGACTAATCTCATTAGGCAGGCGGTCTGCTGACGACGAAACTTTTAGCTGATGAAGATTTTGAAGTCTCATCTGTGATTGAATAAATTTCAACATCAACACTACAACAACCACACAGATCATTCTTCATTCAAATGAAACGTGGCGTAATGATATTTTTAACAGTTTTAATTTTGCAATTTCCAAACGGCTCCAAAATTTTCAAACGCTTACGCACATAGAATTAAATTTATAACAAAAAAACATGAGCAAAACATGGGCGAGTTGTTGAAAAGTGGAAATAAATGCCAAACTGTTGAAAACTCAGAAAAAATCAAATAGATAATGAAATTCTTTTCTATAAAAAAAAGATCCTCCTTACATTGTAGGCTGACAACAAAAATTAATAAAAACGCTGTATTGAGACCAATAAAAACAATTTATCAAAATAAACTAAAAAGGAAAAACCAAAAAAGCAGAGAAACTCAGAGAACATTTGAAGGAAAACGACATCAGTTATTAGAATGAAGAACTAACTGAAAAGCTTTTCATTATTTCAATGTTGTTGTTGTCGTTGGGACATTTATTTAAGACCTTTATTTATAAAAGTAACACTCATTCAAAATTTGATGAAAAGTTGCTTAGAGTTTGAGAGAATTTTGTAAAAACTTTAAAAACTATGTGAATTTGTATTGTTGATTCCAATATTTACAGCGTCGGTTCTGATGATTTTTTTCCGAACAACAAACTAGCAAGATTCAACAACATCAAACAACATTCATTCATTCAAATCGGCTCATCAGCAGGTTCTGCATTTCACCGTTTCCATGTTTTTTGTTGACGGCTCTCAACAGCTTCATGCATCATCTCGTTCCATCCAATCCAATAAGACCTCCCTCTGTCTTCCTTTTCTTCTTTTCCCTTCCACGCGAGCTTCGGTGATGACTTTGGCGACTCGTGCCATGTTCAGTCCAATCCATCTTTCAACATCTCAAATCTGCATTTCAATGCCTCAAATTGTTTGATATTTTTTTCAGAAACATAAAGGGTCAGGCAAGGTGTTGATTAACAAAATTTAAACATAGAAAGTCCATAAACAACATAAACAACACAAACAGCAACAACCTCGACACAGTTGCGGAAACAACAACAGCAACACTGAGAGAAAAAAAGATTGCAGCAAGAAGAACATCTGCGGATGAAGAGGAAAGCAAACGAGTGAACAAATGAGGCATCAGCCATGTAATCCACATCAACTGACCTTTGACCCATGACTTCTGATAAGCCCAAATCAACAACGTCAACAACAGTGACAACAAAAACTACAAATAGTTTCTTCTAACATCAATAACAAAACAATCCACTTCAGCAACAACAACAACAATAACAACAACCATACCAGCAACAACAACCATATCAGCAAGAACAACAACATCTTATCATCACATCACCACGTGTTGCTTTACAATTTCATAATTTTGATCAAATAATTTTTTTCTATTACTGGCGTTCATTGGTTAAAGAAGTGAAAAACTGGACAAAATATGTTATTGAGATTCAAACTTTGCAACAACAACAACAACAGCAGCTACTACAAAACTGTTGCAAAAACAACAACATTTACACTGAGAGGGCACTGCAGGCCACTTATAAACTGCTCATTACACCAATCCCAAAAATATCTACTTGAATGGAAAAATGACATTAACGCGTTTAACACCACACAATATAGCAACTTAATACATCAACAGAACTGAGCTCCAATCAAATTTCAATAAATCTACACGTCATAACTACGTCACACCACCAACACATCACCACAGAACATCATCACACCAACACATCACCACAGAACATCATCACATCAAACAAAGCAAATAGCGTAACGACATAGCGAACAAAGTAGCTTCAGTATACGTCACTCATATTATTTTTACTTTCGTTCACATTTCAGTGCCTCTGGTTTGCCTATATGTCTATGTAATCTTCTGTGTTCCGATGTTTTGACGTGATTTTTTGGTATGTGTATGTCTCTTGCTGGCAATTTTAGTATATTTTATTCGTTTGTTTTGATTTTGTATGTTGTATGACTTTATGTGTTTTAGATTGTATGTTTCCATCTTTTTTTTTTAATTTTATTCGTGTGTTTTGTTTTTGTGTGTTGTATGACTTTGTGTGTTTTAGTTTGTATGTTTCCATCTTTTTTTTATACAAATTTTAGTGGTTCGTTAAACTTTGTGTTTGTGTTTTTTGTCAGAGTGTGTATGTGTTTATGTTTGTGTGTATGTGTTTATGTTTGTGTGTGTGTGTGTCTAAATGTTTCAATACCTGTTTAAAAATTAATCAAAATTATTAGCACTAAGTCAGGCTTCTATTAAAACTTTTTACTAAATAAATTAAATTTTAAAGTTATTTTTTTCACAAATTTGAAATTGCCTTGCACTTGTAGTATGCGTTGTAACGTAGGCATAATTTGCACGCAGCACCTACGTTGTTGTTTGAACGAGTGGTGCAATTGTCAGGG